GTTGTCGGTGTTGTAGAGATTTCAAATTACAAAACTATAATAAAAAAGCTTTTTTGACGTTGACTACCCAAAAATTACAATACCCAAAGTTTCGTCTAAGAACTTTTCCGTTGTTTTAACCTTTTTTTCTTTACTGCTTATCAGGCGGTGTTCTAGAGAAAAACACTGTCACGTCACCAATATATAAATAGTAGAATAATTTGAACCTTTTTTTTAATTCGGTTATCACTATGCTACGAGTTGTTGCTTCCAATGAAATGTGTAGTCAGTTTTATTACTGTTGCAGTTAACTGAACTGGAAAACTGGTTTTCTCGAAACAGATATCCAGATATGGCAACTCGAGAAGAGATTGCACTTTGGATCAGTCTAACAGAACCAAGAGTCAGAGTAAGTTATTTGTTATTTTTTGGTTATTGCTGCATTCGTTTATTACTTTTTGGCCGAATTATTTGCTATTTCTTCTTGTATTTCTGACCTGTTTACAATAATACAAATACTGGCGTACTTCTCAATGAAATAATAGTTGATTAAGATAATCAGAAATTTCAAGACAAAAAACCTTTTTTCCTGCTGCAATTTCTTGAATAAATTTTACCTATTTGTTTATTTATTTATTTACTTATTACTTTTTCACATTCTTACTTATTTTTTCTTATAACAATTTATCACTTTTCTTTCTGCGCTGTATTCTTTGATGTTTTCAAAAGCTTAATTACATTAACACTCTTTTAGCAGTGTAAAGTTGTAGTAACAGAAATAGAATGAGAAAAGAGGAAAGAAGGTTAATTAAGCTACTACTATAAGTTAATTAATTAATTTTTGCTATTTTGTTGCTCAAATTAATGATGGGTACAGTGTAATTAAAAAAACTCTTTTTAAATGGAAAATATAGAATAAACCAATCTTTTTTGTTTTTATTAAAATATTTACTGTCTTATTTACGGCTATTAGATTTGTCTGTGACAAGTAGTTTCATTCATCTTTAAAAGTATCTGAACTTAATTCAGTAAACTGTTATCATCTGTAACAACTATGAACATCAAGCACTGCACTTCAAGTGCTAAGTTACTTTTCGTAAACTGTTTATAACGTGTATTAAAAATTAATTTTACCAGATGCAGAATTAGAATATGCTCTTTTTGTCTTTTGTAATTTAAATGTCTGAATTCTTCAAAA